AAAAAAAAAAAAAAAAAAAAAAAAAAAAAAAAAAAAAAAAAAAAAAAAAAAAAAAAACTATCCTCTACACTTACGTAACCACAAATTACTTACACTACGTTTTTCTTTTAATTCAATTTTTCTCTTCAATTTTCGATGGATTATCTCTATCTTACAGTAAGAGATTTATTTGCAAAATTATTTGAGGACTAGAAATGAAAAGAAGAAAACGAAAATTTTTCAGGAGAACCGAAAAATAAAAAAACAGTTGCATCTAGTACTTAAGGCATTCGCCATTTTACTCCTTCGGGTTCATAGCCAACAACACCTTACATATTAAGTTCAGTTTTTAAATCCCTTTCTAATGTTATTTTATTTTCCTTTATAACTGGCGTTATACAGCCGTCTCAATTCTGAGTTTACAAGTGTCAATGTTCAACTCCGTAGCCTTGTAATTTTGAACCGAATCCGTAAGACAAGGAAACTCCTGGATCAAGTATCGTGAGAAATTTACCTTCGTGAAGGACTTTTTGATGGAACAAACCCGCATTTGCGTTACATGGAAAGGAAAACCACCGAAACCTCTCATGGTTATCCTGATTACAAGGGGACTCTAACCCATGATCCTACTAATACTAATGATATTTTACGTCATCACTGTGGTCGGTGCATCTCATTGGAAGCGAATGCTCTATTCCCTGAGCCGCCAAGGCTCTCTCTTAACTATTTTTATTTTATAACAGTCGTTGAACAGCCGACCCAATTTTTGGGTTTTCGACTACTAATGTTCAACAACGTAGCCTTGTAATTTTGAACCCAATCCCGAAGACAAGGGAACTCCTGGATCAAGTATTGGGAGAAATTTGCCTTCGTGGAGGACTTTTTCATGGAGCTAACTCGCATTTGCGTTACATGGAGAGGAAAACCACGAAAATCTCGTTCCTCCCGAGGTTAGCTTGAAGGCAAGGGAAGTCTAACCCATGATCCGTCTACCACTGAGGATGTTTTAAGTCCGCTGGTGCAAGCCGGATGTGGGATACGAACCCGGTTCATCTCATTGAGAGGCGAACGCTCTGTCCCCTGAGCCATCACGACACCTGTTAACAATCGTTATTTTTATCGTAAATTATTTGCCCTTTTAGCGTTATTATCGTTAATTTTCATTGTAAGTGAACAAAATGCCGGGCGTCCTATCACTGAGCACTGATGGCATATTTAACCGGCGCGATCTTTCGACAAATTTTCGAACTTTTACTACTGGTGTTCGCACTTTGGGCGTTCTCTACTTTGTTTAGCTTAGTCTTTAAAACCTTTTTACGTTAAAAAAGTTATTAAAAAAATTCGTTATTTGGTACTTTAGTGTTTTTCATATCTAGTCATCATTTAGCTTTTTAGTATCATCTACAAATGTTTTAATAATTGTCGAAAACTTTATATAAACAACCTGGTGTTAATTTCCTACTGTTCGAATTCTTCCTTTGATGTAGTTTTGTTATTAATAATTACCTTTCAATTGCAGGTGAATTTAGTACTATTTCCATGTTTGATGTTTTAAGAGACTGTGATAGTGGTATCTGCAGAGGATTAGATCACGAATTTCCTACAGCAGCTTCTCAGGTATTTTACATGCTTTTAATGGCAAATAATGCACTCGGTGTTCGGTAATAACCTTTCTTAAAATTTCATTTTCAGAATTATCGTCGGAAATAAAATAAAAAGCTATTTATAGTATGGTTCTCAAACTAATTTTAATGGAGGCTGATAAAACACTTACTCTGGTTGTATTGAATAAAATAACTAATAACGATTTTTATTTTTTTCTAGAATTGGATTGTGTTTTCCGTTGGTTTGTCTAAAGTTAGAACTCCCCTAGCCATTCGTATGGACCCGTGACGGTGATTATAGTAACGAGGTATAACTATTTCAAGTAGGGATGTGGGCGGTCCCTGTTTAGGACAGGTTTTGAATCGGATCGTTTTCTTCTGTGTATTGTGTTAGCCCTGGAGGGAAGAGATGGAGAAGCCGAGAAGCTACCCAGTCTGAAATGCACTATTCTGGTGTCCATAGCAGCAGACGGCCTCAGACTTTGTGGTCGGGGAGTTCTTACCGTAGACAAACTATACCTCCTTTCCCTTTTAGCATTAAAAAAAATTATTTTAAGGTTTTTCGCCATAGGGCACTGGTCCCATGTCCAAGAGTTCGTGGGTTCGATCCCCGAGTAGTAAATGGCAACTGATGCACGTTAAATCTGTCGTATCGCAAAGTCCTTCATGTTCCCATAACAAATCAATACCTCTGGGGATATGGATCCAGGAGTTTCCTTGTCTTCTGGATTGGGTTCAAAATTACAAGGTTACGGAGTTAAACATTAGTAGTCGTAATCCCAAAATTGTGTCGGCTGTTCAACGACAGTTATAAAATAAAGCGTGATCGATGAGTTAAATGTTATTGTCTTTAAACATTTTGAAATTTTTTCACTGTTAAGCAATACTATCGATTGATAGCTTGTATTGATTTATACTAAAAATACTAATTGATTTTCCATTTAGGTATCTGTTTTACCAAATCCTGATACGCAAAGATCTTCTTGTCACTGGTTTACGGGTACTCCTGATCCAGCACATTCAGTATTTAAGCCTTTTGTGTTCTGCTCATCTAATAGAATTTCACGCCATATTGTATCACCTACTTATCCTGATAACGAAGATCCAGCTAAGGTATTTGCTAGCTTTGAAAATAGATTTGTCCAAATGAAAAATAACAGGAAAGGGGCTGCTTCTCTTTAAATTTTAACTGTCAACTTATCATCATAGACTGTTACACGCATTTAATAATTCTCTAATTATTTTAGATAAAAGACCTCTACCAGGGTGGAGGGCGCGTAGCCGGATTCTTCAACAAAAAATTAACACTTTTTAAGCACTCAAAAAATATTTTTAATCACTTTCCAAAAAAAATCATAATTAGGATCTGTGCAGTAATAAAAATTATTTTTTTCTATCGTTTAAAATTCTTAATTTATAAACATGAAATGAATGAAATTTAAAATCGTTTTCAAACACTTTACATAGCTAGTTTCTGATAAATATTGCAGAGAAAATTGTGCATTTCTTGCAATTTAAAACGACAATCGCAACGCCAAAGAAAAAATCTCTTTTTAAAAAGATGGAAAATCAGGCAGTTTTTACTAACTACAAATAAAAAAAAAGCACCTTAAGGGTTTTTTAAAAACGTAAATCAAAAATAATCACCTTTAAGCACCCTGTCTACTTGTGGTTAGGGCATAATGAAAAGAGATTTCAGAACTAATTTTAAAGAAATAATGCTTGTAAACATATTAGATATAATGACAAATCTTTCTTTTTAACAGATCAAGCCAAGATTCCAAACCCAAGTGAATAGAAATCACACCCTTTATACCAAACACCAAAAAGCTTATCCCATTCTTACAAGTGATAATCCGAAGGGGAAAGAAGTCATCTCAGTTCTGAGAAGTCTAGAGACACAGTGCGTCAAAGACATGGAGAGCTTCGTCGAAAATTTCACATCCGACAAGGCCAAAGAAGTTGAAGACCTCTTCAAGGATCTGGTCGAATCTGAAATAAAGTTCTATTTCATCAAGTAAATGATTCCACTTCACAGAAGGGGAACAAAATAATTTGATGTGCGATCATAGTGACAAGGCCTTCTTATTACATTTAGTTTGCAATTTAGTATACTACTTACATAAAAGACTTCCTCGTATGTAATAAGACTATTTAGCTTGGCTATGCGCGGTGTTACCATATTGCAAAATGGCTAAATGGGGCTTTTTTCTAATGTTCTACGAGAAGTTAACATTGCATGAAAATCGAATGTGCAACACTTAGCAGGACTACTTTTTGAGAAAAAGAAACGAATGCTTGTTTGATTATGCTGATGCGATATTTTTCATACTTTTTTTTAATGTGTGACGAGTTGTAAATAAATTGGCATCGCACTTAGTTTTTCTCATTAGCTAGGAATGAATTATCTGATGTGGAATAAATAATAAAAAATTTAAAGTTTTTGTCCACTTCAGCACCTTTTGTCTTTTCCAGTCAGTTAATGATATTCAAGTTTTAGTCTCTGCAATATTTTTTTTTAACGAAGTTCTTAGTTTTGTAAAACATTCCTTTATATTCACTTGCATACTGTTTCTGTTCTATTATTTACTATAAATAACTTTATTTTGTTATCATTTTCTATACCAAAGATAATATTAGTGAGTTTTTTCATTACCAGGTAACTAGACTAAAATACATTTTAGTATTTAGCAAGGCAGCTGACAATTATTTAAAAATAAATTAGTGCATATATTTAGATATGATCTAAAATGTTTTTTTTTATTCATTTAAAAGATAGTATTTTCTTGAAAAGTTTATTAAAAATATAATCTAACTATAAAGTATATATAACTTTATTGCTTTTGAATAAGTTTATTTATTTGTAATAGTAAATAAAAATTTTTTTAGTTTATTAAAAAAATGGGAAATTTTTACAAGGCAATTAAAAGCTGTAAATTGTTTAAAACTGAATTATTTAAAATTAGATCAAAATGAATTTCGAGAATTTCTTATAATTTTAAGGTTGGAAAATCAGGTGAAGAGGCATTTCGGTTATTAGTTTTGTTTGAAATTGCATTGCGTTTTAATAATTAATTTCGTTTGTATTTAATTAATACTTTTGCGCTTTCAATCACCAAAAAAAAAAATTATTTATACAACATTTTAGTGCTAGTTAATGGTTATTAAACCACTATTGCATACATTTTCTTACTCTGGTTACAAACTAAAGGAGCGAGTTCGAAAACTAGCTGAAAGTGGATTCCTCTCAATTTGATTGTGTGGTCTGCCGCCTGTCTGCTGCTCAGCTATCTCGAGAACTTCTCCTAACTGAAAGTCTGAGGTTGTCTGTTACTATGGAAACAAAAATAAAACCATTTCGAATGGGAGAGAAGGGAAGAAATGGCATAACTCTTCCAATCTAAAACAAAACGCCCAACACCCCTATTCAAAGCGACTTATCCTCGTTACCTCAGTAACTGCCAACACGCAAGTCTGATGTCTGGAAGAGTTCTCGTGGTAGTCGGACAGTAAGTTATCAAGAACATTAGACTTGATTCTTTACTATTATGTTTCTCAACGTGATCGAAATGATAAAAATTATTTGTCATGTTGGACAGATTCGAGCATTAACAAAAATAAACTTTTTTATAATACCTTCTTCTTTGCTTTGTTTAAGCATTAGAAAACTAAAAATATTTATAATAATGAGACATAAAATTATCACTTTTAAATAATTCAACCAGATAATTATAGTGACTTGCGTGACAAGTCTCTATTCAAATATGAAGTATACGATTTTCTTTTAAATTAAAAAAAATTTGAATGACATATAAAATTTTTCTTACATTTTACTCACTTTCTAGTCATTTAGGGAAATACTTATTAATTTCCCTTGCATCCACTATGTTCCTTTTGTACTATTTGATGTTTCTACATTCCTATTTTAAAATTAAATTTTGCTCACTGTTAAATGCATGTATGTACTTGCGAAATTTATATTTCAATAAATAAATTTAAATACAACAATCATCAGTCAACGAACTTCAAGCTAAAATGAAGGAAAAAGTTATAAATTTGCTTTTACTGAACTAACTTTCAAATATCTACTGTAAAGAAAATAGTGTGATTTTCTTAAGTATTATGTTCATTTTGTTCTATCACTATTATGTACTCATACAAATCAATTTTGATTTACTTAAGATCAAATAAATACTCATTTTGAGTGATGCGTTGGGTCTATATTTAACTCTGTGTATTTTGATGCAAAAATCTGGGGTCATTCATTTTCTATAAGGGCATTTCTCAAAAGTTTCGAACAATAACATTAAGACACAGTGGGGTTCTCCAAAAATTCTGAATAATTGCATTCAGTCTAGTCTGTCGCCATTTGGCTAATTTGTTGCTTATTGCTAGAGCAAGCAAGAGATTTACTCAAACAAACATTCGTTTGTCAAAACAACAAGTTCAAGATAATAATAATAATGATAAAAAAAAACATTAACAAGTTTATGTAATTACTCTATATGCATATATATATATAAATGCATGTATGCAGAATTAATAACATGCTTTCAAACTAATCAAACTTCAAATCACAAAGAATAATATACAATTTTATATTTATTTAAAACAAATAGATATAATATATAAAAATAAGCAAACGTAAATGAGTTGATGACGTGAGTAATAACTTCATAACAAAAAATAGCAACACTAACATAGAAAAATCAGAAAATATGCAAGATTTTGTTAATTAATACATTGTTATTCAGCAAACAAATTAAAAAAATACCATTGTAAAACATACCATGTAATTTTAGCTGCATAAACATAATAATTGTATTATTATGATTGTTAAATATTACTATAAATTCACAAAAAGTTTGTTAAGATATATATATAACTGCAAAATCAGGATATTGTAATTTTGAAAACTCTAAAATATTTATTGTTTCAAAATAAAAATTCACTACTCTTTCTTCTTTCCAACATTTAAAATTATTAGGCCATGGTAATTTTCTTTAAAGTTTTACTTAGGACAGCCATATATAAAATTGAAACATATATTGAGAGCAAAGAAATATATCAAATAATGGATGAGAATTTTTTTTTAAACAAAAAAGCAATGCATTTGACATTACTAACATATTAAAATTATAGAGAAATTTTTATTTTTCACAGAGAGAATTGATATAATCTCTTAATAAGATAAAACTATTATTATCTTATCTTATAGTTATATTTTTTTAAATTTGGAGCTAGGAAAAAAATTCAATAAAGACACAGGGTTGTTTATAACAGCGGTTCCCAAATGGTGTTCTGTTGAAAAGAAGCTTAAAAGCTTACAATTTTTAAATCAGAAATAATTTTTGAAACTTGTAATTATATTTATATCAAAACAGTAATTTTTTTGATGGTTTGGTTATTTTAATGAAACTATTTATTATGCGAATTACATAATATAAATTAATAAAACGTGAGTAAAAATAAGAAATGGCAAAATTTATAAAATTATTATAGAAACAGTATTTCTCTTTAAACTTTTCAAAATAAAATTACTCAATTCAAGAATAACGAATTATGTTTCTCTGATAAATATTCTCAACATTTTTGAGAGTTCTTTTTCAAAAACCATAATTGAGCTTATTTTATTAGCTTCAAAAACCATAATTGAGCTTATTTCAGCCCCCCCCCCCCCAAAAAAAAACTAGACTAGATGTCGCTCCAGACCTGCGAATTCGACTATTTGACATAAAACCTATTATTTTAAGAGTTTTATTGATAAAACGATTATGGAAAAAAAAATATCATTCTTCCCATTTAATATTAACAAATTGCTTGGTAGTTTTTCTTTGGTCAATATGGTCATGGCCCAATAAATTTTAATTATATGTTTGGGTTTTGCCAAAAGATGCTCGATCATTTAGGGTTCTGTAGCCGTAAAAAATTGGGAACCGCTGTTCTTCAACATAGCTTAGAAACGTCACAACAAGTATACTATAATAACAAGCTAAGAGCTGCAAAGATTATATATACATACATAAACTGCTCAAATGCATTTATGTTTGTAAATTAAATCTCTTTAATAATATGTGTATTGGGTGCTGAAAAATAAAACAAATTGTATATACCAACATAAAAAGATTTTAAATGTTAAGAAATAGGATTTTTTAAAAAGGAGATCAAAATAGAGAATACAGTAGTCAAACACATTTAGTTTATAGATTATATCAATCTAAAAAACTAGTATGGCTGGTTTTAAAAACAAAATCTAAATACACTGTATAGTAAATAGTAGGTAAATATATTTTAAATGTCAAAAAAAGTTCATGAAAATTTTCAAAACGAATCCTAATTACAACATAACTCTTTTAAACATATTTTTAAAAATTACCAAGAGACAATAATGGTATAGAACGAAAACATTAAAAAAAAAATCAAAAATTATGTTATATACAATAATATCAAAGGAAGTATAGTGATAACTTATCAATAATCAAAAACATAAACAATTTCAACAGCTAAAATGATAGTAATTTTAAAAATTATTAACAAACAATAATGGCATAGAATAAAAATTCAAAAATATTTGTTACTTACAATAGTATCAAAAATATCAAAGGAAGCAAAATAATATCTTATCAATAATCATTAATTAATACAATCTCAACTGTTTTACAAATTAAAAATTAGTTCATCTAATACTTTCGTACTTGTAGTACATTTGAAATATCATCACTATTGCATATGTTTTTACAAAACATCTTAACCTTTTAAAGGGTGGTCATTCTCCCTATTAAACTAAATTTCCTGAGAATTCCAGAATACAATTAATAGTTATGCAAAACTTAACATTTTCAAGTAATTTAAATAATTACATATATATTAGAATTATTATTAGAAAATATATTATATTATTTGAGAACTAAACTATATTAGTATTAAGAATTTGTATCTAAATATGGCAACAACAAAAATATGTTTCAATCATAATTTTTTGAACTAAAATTGTTTATTATTTCAAAACAAAATTCTTCATGATATTAAACAAAAACATTCATGATTTCTATAAAAAAAAAAACTTTTACTAGACTTAAACAAATAAGAAATGGTTCTCAAAAATAATTTTTATCCTAATTTTTAAGATGTTAAGAAAACTAGAATTGTTAGTTAGAACTTCATTAGTTATTCATTGAAATGAATATGACCAACATTGATAGTATTCCAGATTAATAGGTAGGTTGAGGATATCCTGAGAATTCCAGGTTTTCCTGTTTCTAGCGTGAGTGGTCATTTGGATTTTATCATGATACAATGCTTAATTTAATGTACTAACAATATTAGAAATAACTCAACTAATATAAAAAAGGGTCAACATTTGAATGTTCCTAAAACTGAACGTATCTGTTTTAGAAAAATACTTGGATAAACAATTCTTTTTTTAAAAAATAATTATCATTAGAATTTTGTTTAAAAAGTCTAACTTAGCCAATTTAATATTTTAAATAAAATATTAAAACATAAAAACTATTACAATCAAGTATTTGAAACGGAACAGTGTAAAAAATTAAAATAACTTTTAGTATTTACAAGTGGCTTGAGTAATTAAGAATATAGTGAAAGCTCATGCTATGTGATATTTTACTGAATTTCTTTTTTAAATATTTAATATATTGAAATAAAAGATGCTTCAGGGGAAGCAACTTATTACATTGAAAATAGTCTAATTTCAAATCTAAGCTGAATAAATTTATTTTACATACCAACAAACCATAATCTATTCTAATATCTCAAAAATTTTAACAACTTCAAATTAAAGCAACATTTTGTCCCATTAATATGTTGAAGCAAAATATTTGTAATGATTGTAAATGAGGACATAAAATTTTTACACTAAATGACTTTCAAATGATGTTTAAAGATTTAAAAATTTACGAAACTGAAAAAGTTGAATGTTTAAAGATAGAAAAGTTATTAAATATACTGATAACATATTTAAGCTGCATTCAATTTTCATTTAATGCATTAGAAAAACAAAAGGATAGTAATAAAACACATACACCAAGAGTTAAAAAAAAAACTATTTCAAATATGCTAACGTAAAAGATTGCTGTCTTGATGAAGATGATTAATGTCCACCTTGAAGTGTTTTAATTTTGGCACCTTTCTTCAATTGGTTTCCAGCCTACAAAACAGTTTTATAAAAATAATTTAAGAGCAGAATTAAATTACTTAGTTAAATACAGACTTTAATTGAGAGTTAATAATAAAGTTCTGGTTCAATTTTGAAACTGTCAACTAGTGAAAGGTAAAAAATAATTTTCGAATAATGTGAAAATAAATTCAACATTCAATGAGGCAGAAAATAAAAAATATCACTGTCAAAACAAAAACTTTGAGCAGTGATTCATGAAACTGATTTACAAAAGAATAATTTCATGCTAAAAAAAATGTTTTCATATTTATTTATCATTTAGTTCAAAAATAATAATAATATTAATTTGAAATATCAATTTCTTAAACGATGCAATTTAGATCAGTGTTCCCCAACCCTGGCCTGCAAGCCGGTATCGGGCAGCCCATTCATTGATACTAAATTTAAATTCCTAGGTTTATACCCCAAATTAAAAATATCTGTGTTCCATTAAAAAAAAAATTTTTTTTAAAAAAAGGGCCCCCGGAGGCAGTGACATAAATTTTTTAAATTTTGTAATGCATCATTGTCTCTGATTACCCCCAGATGGGACTGTCTCATTACAAAGAAACAAGCTCAGGGTTCTCATTGATTTAATGTTTTTAGTAAGTTAAAATGTTAAATCCCTTTATTTTTTGGTGTAACTGTATTTTATCTTGAAAGCATGTTTAAGTACAATTAAATTAAAATTAATAAATCAAAATAAATAATCTAAAATATAAGCAATCAACGCCCCCCCCCCAGTGGGCCGTAGTAAAATTATCAATTGTTGACAGGTTGGGGAACATAGATTTAGATAATCATGAGGAAAAAATTGTATCTCTTGGGATAAATTCAATTAATTTTGTTTAAATTTAAAGATTCATCACAAAAGATTAGCTTAAGAAAATATAAACAATCATATACATTACAAATTAAATTTTATTTAATTACTCAGAACCGATGCTAACTTTTATGGCGCCCCCTTCAAAGCTTTCTTCCCTTACTTTAAAAGTTTTTAACATACTTTTAGAGATAGAATATAATTTTACAGCATTGCATCTCTGAAAAATGCAATTTAGATCTAAGAAGGAGGCAGGAAAGAAAGGCTTTACTTTATAAAAATTGAGAGAGTATCCAATAATTTTTAAACTTAATATAGCTGAATAATTTTTAAACTACTCATTTAATACAATAAAATTATTTGATTTGTAATACTATTTGGAGGATAATTTAATATTGCACAAGTAAGTACATTTACTCGTTTAAAGAACTGATGCTAAAATAGATATTTTTCAAAAACATAAATTTTACAATTTGCTATTTACCATTTCATTTTTAAATTTATCTTCATAAAAATGTTTGTCGCAGAATCGTTTTGGTATAATTTTGTTAGAAATATCCTATAGATTTTGAATAAGAGAAAATTTACATTTGTATTTTACGTTTCAAGTGGTGGTGTAAGGTTGAGTAAATAACCATTCGTTCATTTAAGATATATTTAAAAAAAGAAATATCTAGAAAGACATTTATATAATATTTTACATCATTTTCACCAGTTTACATACTTTTGATGGTTAAGGAGGAAGGAAATGGGAACCCCACATATTTTATCCTCACATGTCAGCCTAAAGAGCACTTTTAAGATTAAGACCTTAAGCAGTCTTGGTAATTTAGAACAGAATTTTTCAACATTTTTATTGCTGCGGACCAGTCAACTTTTGATAATTTTACTGAGGTCTGATGAAAGGACGTTGATTGTTAATATTTTAGATAGTTTTGTTTTATTAATTTTATTTTAATTGTATTCAAACTAAACATGTGTTTAAAACAAATACAATTACATGCAAGGTATGGGTGCTACCTAAGATGGCGGAAAAACCATAAATAAAATAGAAATAACAATGTTCCTCGGGCAACCCGGTACCATTTGACCCACTGATCTAGTACATATCTCAATGGTCGTCCAATTCTGTTCATACTTTCAATAGCATGTTTCTCTTAGTGACTCTTACAGGAACAGTATACCTTCCTGAAATACTGCTGGCATTAGGGGAATACATAAACTTTATCCTACACAAGTTGACATTGAAAGTATGAAAACTTAGCAATTCACAAGTTGGCATTGTGGGTACATTAACTTTATCCTACGGAAGTAGGTACTGGGAAAACAAAATTTCCTTCAAAAGTTGGCACTAGGAGTACATAAATTCTGTCCTTTACAAGTTAGTAATGGAAGCACATAAGCTTAATCCTTCACAGATTGGCAATGGGGGATACTTAAATTCTGCCCTTCACAAGTTGGCAGTGAGCACAGATAACTTCAATCCGTTGCAAATTGGCAATAAAAGTACATAAATTTTATCTCTGGAAAGTCGGCTTTGAGGGTACATAAACTTTGTAATAAGTTGGCATTTAGGTTACATAAATTTATGAAGCACAAAGTTTATGATCCTAAAACACTCACTGCAGGAATGCATCACTGTTGATGTGAAAAACACTCTAATTGAATTTATGAATTTGGTTTAAGATTGGAATGTGTGCAAGATGATTAAGGTTGCATACATTGAACATTCAGAATAAGACGCAGAAATTTGGTGAGTGTATGTATCTATCCATGTACTGCCCATTTTAGCATAACATATACTCATAAATAAACTGTTCTTTGAAACTGGGTGAATCTTTCAAGTTAGCCCTGTAATCTACTTAAATATTTAAGGACTTTAATAAACAGTCAATTGATATTCATACAAAAACTTAATTAAGAAAAATATTTAAATATATTTTTTGAAATAAATGAAAAAAAGTCATAAATTAGTAAGAAAAAATCTGATATTTTCTTTTTAACCTTTATTAGCGTTTACAAAATATATAAATTTCACAATTAAATAACATTTATGAATGCCATAATATAATAAAAGACCACAAATCAATTAAAATTATCCAGATTTTTGAATTAATGAGGTGTACTGTTTTATAAAAAGACAATTTGCTATAAAAGAGAATAAGAAAGTTCATCTATTTAGAAATGAAAGACATCATTAAAATAAATTAATATTATTTTTAAGATTAACACATAAAAAGATAATAAAGCTTTTTGTCTCATTTTAAATAACAAAAAACTTACCACAGGTTTAGTAAAAACTTGTTTTGGTTTTCTCCGGTCAGATTTAATTTGTGCCTTGATCTGAAAAGGTAAGAGTTAATTAATATATAATACAATATAATAAAGATGTTCAAATTATTTGTCAAAACTAAACGCTATAGAGATATTCCAAGGAGTCATTATCTAAAATAAAATATACATTCAATGAAGAAAACATTATGCACTATGAGGCAAAGGATTTTAGAAAAATCAACTACATTTGTCATTATGGGGTTTTGAAATTGAAAAATCCAGTTATCTTTTACTCAATGTATTTCTATGGGAAAAAATTAGTATTTATATACAACAGATACAAAAAATTAATTATCACAAATTACAAAAAAAAGAAGGAAAAATTAGCATAATAATAATTTTATTTAACTGCGAAATATTATTCCAAAAGATTTTGCATTGTTAGCTCACATTTATAAGCATTTGCAATTTAGCTTGTCCATTTCATTATATTCTCTTTTTTACGAGATTCCATGAAATAGCTAGAAAATATAACAACATGTGTGTGAGACCAACGATATACCAATAACTAAACATAAAGATAAACTTTCATCAAAATATAAGTCTCTTACATTTTTAGCTAATTCATCACGGTACTTTTTATCTTTCTCATATTCAGCAATTTCTTTCTCTCTTTCAAGGACTGCTTTCCTTTTCAGATCTTCTTCTCTCAGCTGAATGAAAAAGTCCAGAGAGAAGAGTAATTAATCCTTCAATTAAATACAAATCATAAAAACAAAGAGACATGATAGTTGACATAGCAGTAGAACATTATAAAACATGTAATAATCTTTTTCAGATGATAATATTATTTAAACCATCTTGGGCAGAAAAAAGAAAGCTTATTTTATAATAATAGAAATTTGCAAAAAAAAAAAAAAATTTAAAAAATGCATTCATTTTTTTTTATGCAATTACAAAATATCATTTCAAGAGATTAAGGGGATACCATTACTGAAATTTCATCTCATAAAACATTGTTTACAATCCTTATTACAAAATTGAAATAAATTTTTTAATTGAAACGTTCATTGTCATGTTTTAATTAAAAAAAATTATTAAACAAGATCCTGCTTTAATAAAATTTTTTATTCAAACAGGATCTTCTTTCTAAATTTTTTAAAATAAATTATTATAATCTTTGCATTCTCTCATACTTAAAATTCTGTAAATTCAAATTTAATCTCCATGCCTTAGTTTTAATTAAGACCAAATGCAAACATTCTTTTATGCAGTTTATTAAAGGTTATGATTATTTAAAGAAATTAAAACTGGAGTTTCAATATTTTACTTACTACAAAGGACAATAGTAAGACCAACTTTTATAAATGTAAAAAAAAAAAAAACTGCTAAAATATTGTCATTAATAAAAATTTTTATTAATACAATTGAACAAGCAAAAATATATGCAATGCTACAAATCACACATTCACAATCACTAATAGGATAATAATTTTTAAAACCAAATACAGCTTTGTATGAACAATCAAACTGAATCTTAATTAATATGCTCAATAGATTTTAAAATTCTGTATAAAACTCGAATACATATGAGAAGTTAATTTTTTAAAAAAATATATATATATGTGAAAAAGCGTAATTTTCTGATACTACAAATCAGAGATCCACTTACGAACTCAAATGCTCATCAAATAAGCCAAAAATTATAGAGGGGACGGAGAAAAAAGTGACACTCACTTCTGAACACACACAAGAAAAAAAATAGTGTACACGTACTAGAAGATTTATGACCTGGGACTAGGACTGGGCTATAAATTGATATATCGCAACATATTGATTTCACGCCTGTATCGGCAGGCCGATACAACGACTTTCGTTCCAGGCGATGAATCAGAAATCTGATTTAAGCCGTCGAGTAAAGAAGACGAACGATATAGCGATACAAGACCAGCAAGGATCTCTTATGTTCCGATGCCAACTCGCGCTGGGGAAGACGATGTACGTATCGTTATATTGAAACGGCCTTGATTGATGAGCGGTAGAATCAGAATCAGTTTTGAGAACATATATCGTGATCTCGCATGTTCGTTTCCGCACCTCTTAGTTTTTTTTCCTTCTTTGTTGCGACTTGATATCGTTTCCTGTAGATTATTTTCAGTGAGACTGACTTAGTGATCGTTACCTTGTTCTGAACGTTATCTATTATTGAAAAGAATATATAAAGAAGTGTTTCTTAATTA